GTAGCCCATTTTTCATCAAGGTGCTCTGGTTCCCCAGCACCTGACGCAGACCTTGTTTGGCCGGGCGACGTCTGAGCTGGCATGTCATTTGATTTCTTGTCTCTCACATTGTATAAGGTAGGCATTAGCGTGAAGGGTCTTGCCCAAGGACCCACAGTGGATGGTGTTATGTGCTCATTTTTTTCCCAAGCGGGATTCGAACCCCCGTCTCCCGGTGCCTTACAAACTGAGCTATCCAGTCGCTATATCCTGTGTGTATATATATATCATCTTTTGGGGTGCAGGAGTCACTCCTTAAGACCTTCTATGACTCTGTCGTGGCTTCGGCCATCCATTATGGCATAGTCTGCTGGTCAGGCAGCATCTCAGCCCGGGACAGAGAGAGACTGAATCGACTGGTCAGGAGGGCCAGTTCTAGAGAGACTGAATCGACTGGTCAGGAGGGCCAGTTCTAGAGAGACTGAATCGACTGGTCAGGAGGGCCAGTTCTGTCCTGGACTGCTCCCTGGACACTCTGGAGGAGGTAGGCAACAGGAGGATGCGAGCTAAACTAAAAGCTGTGATGGACAGACCCTCTCACACCCTCCAGGCCACCCTGACAGCACCGGGAAGCTCCTTCAGCCAGAGTTTGTTACACCCGCACTGCAAGAGGGAGAGGTACCGCCGCTTGTTCCTACCGACTGCTGTCTGGCTGCTGAATAAACACACGTGAAAACCTGGACTCACCATATATAGATGTAGCTATTTTTTTGGGGGGGGGCTTGCGGGGGGAGTCATTGGGAGAAGTGTCCGTATACTTTCGTCTTTCCACCTGCCTTACTCCTCCTCAAACAACAGACAGGTAGAACAGTGCTAAATTGTTCCCAGTCTTTGCACTTTTTCAACCCTTGCTTTTCCTTTTAATATCTGCTCCAGACCCTCGTTGAAACGGCTGGCCCGTTTGAAGCGATATGTCATCGCATATTGGATGTGGCCATTGTATTCATCATAAAATTGGCAAATATTTTTCAGAAAATTGAGTTAGAATGACAAAATCAAAAGACATGGTTTGGTATTAATCCAGTGAGTTCTTGCCGGCCTTTCAATGGGTGGTCAAAAACCTGTTTCCTATCTTGGGTGAACAAAGCGTAATTTGAATTCCTGGCTTTTGAGTAGTGATGACAAGGAATCAGCCTTCCTTTCCTGTTCTCTGATTGGTGAGTCGCATATGTGCTGAGTGTAAACGTAGGTCCACTGGTGGAAAAACAGAGCACATGTCCCTCGGGACTGATTACTCTTAAATAGCATTTGCAAAGCACAGTTTAAGATTGCCTGTGGCATCTTGCAACAGTGGAGCTATTTCTGAGCCCTCTCCACCACAAGCATGATGAAAATCAGTTTATATGGAAGGTGGACCTCCATACAAATCACCCACTGATTTACTGTTAAGCATGTGAATAAAACGTCATGGGATAAAGGGTGTTTACTATTTAAACACCATATTAACAATAAAAACTCTAACTTAATCCTGAGATAAAAGTGTCTTCACGGTTGATGTCATAAAATTAAGGAGTGTGTGTGTGTGTGTGTGTGTGTGTGTGTGTGTGTGTGTGTGTGTGTGTGTGTGTTTGTGTGTGTGTGTGTGTGTGTGTCCGTACATGCGGGCATGGAATGGAGACCATGTTAGTGGAGTATAAAGCTGATGCTGCAAATGTTGCCTTCCTAAGATTAATTTGTCCACTTTTTTTTCCCCATTTCACACATTAAAACAACTTTGTTAGGGAGCAAGCAAATATACTGTTACAGTATGATCAAATAGCAAGAACACAGATGCAGAATCGTTTTCGCTTGAGCGCAAAAAAAAATAAAAAAAAGGTCTTTCAAAAAAATTCTCAACAAAATCAACACAAGGGGAGAAAATTCACTACAATCTTAATTGGAAGCAGGAGGCTCGACAACAATTGGAGAGCAGAGACTTTTAGCGACCATGAAGGAGGAGAGTTTGATTGTTGATTATGAGCCCCTGCTCTCGAGCAGCCTTCCGGCACCTCCCTGACTCAGACAAGAGAGAGAGAATGTGAATTCGTGTTGAAAACATTCAAGACAGAATCATAACCATAACAGTATGCACCCCCTGTCATGATTCGGTTTGGGACCAACAGGTGGCACTGTAGGGCTCTCCTTGCAGCTGCACACCTGTTGGTCATTATGTAATTAGTGTTTTAAAAGGACTCCCAGCCCGAACACTCAGTGTCGGGTCATTGTTGTTCTTTGCTACTGTCATGTTTGTTTGTTGCTGTTTGCTGGCTGCTGTCATGTTTGTTTCAGTCAGGTTTTGGTCATTGTTATCTTTTATCTTCGGTCATGTGTTTTGTTTGATACTTTGGACCTTGTTTGTTTTGGATTTAGTTTTGAGTTTTAATACAAGCTTTCAAGTACAACCTGCTCCTCCCTCTTGCCTGCTTTTTGGGGTCCACCACCACCTCGCAAATGTGACACCCCCTAAGGCACACCTCTTGGCATCCTACCTGGCTTACTCGTGTGCTTCGCATAAAAATCCCGCAGCAGCTGTGTGTCGAAGATGAACGAGCGGGAACGCTCCTCAGGGCTGTACCCCTCCCAGTCGAACAACTCCTGGTATCCTTCTTTCCTTTTGGGCGTCGAAAAAGCGGTACAGGGTGTATGTTGGATGGGTTTAAGGAGGTAGGCGTCCAACATTGGATAGACCTTGAGAGATGAGGGAATACTGAGGTGGACGGCACTGGGCTTTTTGATTTTGGTCATTGGGTAAGGACCAATGAACTTCGGGGACATATTTTGAGCATCTAGTTCATAGGTGTCAAACTCAGGTCCTGGAGGGCCGCTGTCCTGCATGTTTTCCAAGTCTCCCTGTTGCAACACACCTGATTCAAATGAACAGGTTCAATGTCAGGCTTCTGCAGAGCTTGCTGATGATCTGATCATTTGAATCAGGTGTGTTGCAACAGGGAGACTTGGAAAACATGCAGGACAGCGGCCCTCCAGGACCTGAGTTTGACACCCCTGATCTAGTTGGAGAGATCCTGTATTGAGAGCCGCACTTGTTGTCCCACCCTGTAGGTGGAAGATGGGGTTCAGTGACTGTCTCCCAGACGTCCGTTCCGCTGCGCTGTCCTCTGCCGTATTCTCCAGACTCGGCGTAACAGGGCTCTGAAAGATGGCACTGTTGCATGCGAATGAGCACAGTGGTGAGGTCCAAAGAGCTGTCTAAGACTCTCCGAAATAATTACGGCTGCCAAAGAATTAAAAAGATATTAAAGGAGTTTGACATCAACTATTCCGCCATCTGGAAAATTGTTTCCAAGTTCATACCAACTGAAACCTTGCTGCCCAGGTCTGTCTGTCAAAGTAAGTTCACCTGCTCGAGCAGGCTGCAAGATTCCAAAAGCAGTCGTCAAAAATTCTAAAATAATATCACCTTCAGCAGGCTCTTGGAAGTTTGGCTTTCATGGGAGGTGCACAAAGAGGAATTGTTTACTTTTTAAAAAGAACATCAAGGCCAGACTGAAGTTGGCCAGAAAAAACACGGACAGAGACCAAATGTACTGGAATAATGTTCTTTGAACAGGTGACTTAAGTTGAATTATTTGGACCCTAGAGCAGAAGACTTTTGTTGTAAACCAAACACAGCATTCCAGGCGCAGAACCTCATACCAACTGTGAATCATGAAGGTCAAAGTGTCATGGTTTGGGAATGCTTTGCGATAACAGGAACTGGCCAGCTCGCCATTTTAGAATCCACTATGAATTCTATTGTCTATCACAGGGTGCTTGAAAACTGGACTGGAACTGACACTGTAGCACAGAGGTCCCCAACCTTTTTTACCCCACGGACCGGTTTATGTCAGACAATATTTTCACGGACCGGCGTTTAAGGTGTGGCGGATAAATACTACAAAATAATATGGTAAGAGCTGCATGAACACTGTGGTGTTTTCGAGAGCTAATAATAAACACGAAGAGCGTCTAATCTGGCCGCAACACTCTGATCGCTATGGTAATATTTAATGCCTTCAAAATACGATACAACGCAAATTCAAAGTGCATGAAAATGTCAACTCACCACAATGCTGAATCAGTGCGAGCCCCAAGCTTGATTTTCTGCAACCGGACGGTCCCATCTCGGGGTAATAAATATATAAAATATCTTTTCGTATTCCAAAATAAATACCGGTCTCCGCGGACCGGCTGTTGGGGACCCCTGCTGTAGCATGACAATGACCCAAAACAAACCAGTAAATCCACCAAGAACTGGCTGAAATTTTAAGAAGTTGAGAGACTTGGAATGGCCTAGTCAAAGCCCAGATCTAAATCCCATTGAGATGTGGCGTGAAACAGGCTGTGCGTGTAAGAAAAAAAACCTCAAATATCTCACAGCTGAAAGAATTCAGCTTTGAAAAGTGGGGAAAACCTTCCTCAGATCGATGTCAGAGACTAGTAGATGGCTACAAGAAGCTTCAAATGTCTAGTTGCAACCACGTTCTCTGACTTTTCAGCAACCACATAGTATGTGATTTTTGTAATTGATTTTAAAGACAGTACATTAGTATGTTATTCTACCAAAATATAGTGCTGTTATAATTATTTTTTCAGCTTTCAAAAATACAGAAGTGATACGGGCAGTACAGTGGTTAACTGGTTAGCATGTCCACCTTAGAGTGGGAAGGTGTAGGGTTTGATTCCAGACCCCGGCCTTCCTGTGTGGTGTTAGCATGTGCTCCCCCTGTCTGTGTGGGTTTTCTACGGTTCCTCCGGTTTCCTCCCACATACCAAAACCACGCAGGGTGGGTTGTTTATGTGTGCCCTGCAACTGCCTGGCAACCAGTTCAGGGTGTACCACACCTCCTGCCCAAGATCAGATGGGATCGGGTCCAGCACACCCGCGACCATTTTGAGGATAAGCAGCTTGGAAAATGGATGGCTGGATGTAACAGCAGTGCGATACTAATGAGATAATATTGCTTTTCTGTCCCCACTTTCAGACCGAACATGTAACCCAGGCCTGATGAGTATTGTCCAACAGATAGCAGCGCCCACACTGGCTCCTCTTGAGGTCGAAAACCAGACTGCTGTGGTGGTGATAAATGACACCGAGGAACCCATTTCCTCAACGCCTTACCTACAGTGGTGGGATGCGCAGAGCATTGTGGGGCTCTCTTTGTTTGTCTTATGCATCATCTACTCCAGGTATACGTCCCAAAAAATTAATAAATATGTACCTAAATGGCATTGAAACAAACAATGTACAGTGAAACTCCTCTACAACGGTAATCATGTTTGCAGCAAGAATTTTTTCACAACAGGGGGTTTTTCACTGTAGTAAATTTGCTCTCAGATGTTTTCACACGCACGCACACACACACACACACACACACAAACGTATGTGTACACGCACACACAAACATAAGTTTGGTCACCTTAATTTTATTCCAATAGTGCATATGTGCATACACTTATTTGACACTTCAGATAGTCAGTGTCGAAAGAAAAAAAGGGAAAGAAATTGCGAACTTCACGATCAGCGTTCACGTTCACTTACATCAATTTCTTGGATAATGTCTTTTATTTTGTTTCCTCCGTCTTTCAGTTTGATCACTTTTACCCTCTCTTCCAGCGTCAGAGCTCTTCTTGTCTTAGCTGCTTGACATCCAAAGGTCCGTTTTGTAGCTATTTTAGCAATGCAACATTCTTGCTGTATCTGAAACAAACAATAACAAATACTTCCTGGACTACTGCGCATGTGTAAACCAGTGTGGTGGTTGCTTTTGCTGTTTCTGAACGAAGCAGTAGAGGTCGCTGTTGGATTAGACTTCGTTGTAGTGAATCGCGTCGTGAGGCAAGAGCAGAGAAAAAGATTTCGTATAACGCAACAGGGTTTTTTTTCATTGTATGGGAGGCAGGAAAGCGGGAATGTGTTAATGCATGAAGATGTTTTCACACTAGGGGGTATTTTCGCCCATGTGGGTTTCGTTGTAGAGGAGTTTCACTGTACATTGAATTTGTTTCCATCATGTCATTTGGAAAAAAATCTGATATTTTAGAAGGCGCAATAGAATCATTTCCATCCAGTAACTCGAACATGTTCTTTTAGCAAGTTAATTTGGTTTAAATGGGTGAAACTTGTGAGCAAAACGCAATTCACAACCCAAACTCCACATAGAAAGACCAGAGCTGAGATTGACAATAAAAACTATACCATACCCAGTGATCATTTTACAGTTTAACGCCAGCGAGTCCCAGGGACTCGCTGATGAGAAAAGTATGAGTCCCATTATGCATTTAGAGAGTCCCAAATTTCGAATTCTGAAATGGTCTACTTATTCAATTGCATATGATAATAACACAAACAACAACATATACATACAATTATAAACAAATACTGCAAAAATGTAAATACTTCAGTAGCAGGACTGAGGATTTCGGAAATTCACAGTAACCATTTTTCGGTTCCGTCGGATTACACAAAGGGGAAACCACGGTAACTAATTTTGGGTTCCGTAAACGTTCTTCATGGGAACCCATTTTTCTATTTTGACTGATATTCATAATCAAGAATTCTGAAAGTCAAACATATAATGTTTGAAGGGTTAATGTTTGAAAACTATGCATTAACAATGAACATTACATCAGCCACTGTGTACTACAGGTTTATTCAAAACAATATATGGATCAAAATATGATGTACTCATATGGCATCATGAATACAGCATACCACAAAATCAGAGTATTTTTTCCAATCTCACACTGCAAAGATTAATTTACTGGTAATCATTAATACAGGTAAGCAGTGATGTGGCTTGACATCCTCTTCCCAAGACGATGCATGTGTAATTTACTATCAATTTGACAAAGGAACCTAACACGTCATCATTAGTTCTACCAACATTTAACATTAGCATTACTACACCTTGTGACGAATGTTTATTCATAAAGTTACCATGCTACAACCAGTAAATTATAGAATAACCAATACTGTTTCATCACATTTTTCATAGCGATTAGCCTATTGATCTAATGACCAGCTTGCCTCGTAATCGTGCCTCACGTCGTATCTCTCTCTCGTGTTGTGTGCATACATCACAGGTGAGTTTAGTGATACGCCCTTCGGACGATTCATACGAAAAATCAGACTGGCATTCACATTTCTTAAATGTCGTAATTAGTAGACCTTTGTGAGTTTTTTTCGTCGCCATCTCAAACTTTCATCCACGCGATTCCTCAGTTTGCGGACTAAAATAGCACACTCCCAAAACAGTTTCTGTGCCCCCCCCCCCCCAACCCCAACACTGAAAACGAAAGTAAATTATAAGAAACACACTCACACACTACACCACAAACACACATACAGGCACAGTGAAATCGCATTGATCACACAGCAGAGATTCGATCACGTACAGTCAACTCGTGTACGGTGACTTTTATGGTTAAACGATTTTTCGATACTGTCAAAATGATGCCACGGAAACGACACGCTACCAGTAATGACAGTAGCCGTTGCTCAGGCCTGCCATAGGTTTTTTTTTTTTTGTTTTGACTGAGAAATTTTCTTGCGTCCCGAAAATGCACATGATTTGGAACTGTGCGTTCCGCGGGAAAAATTATGCGGGACACAGAGGTAACGAGATGGCTGCATACCATAATTCACCTGAATTTTCTTGAATTACTGTTCAGTGAACAAAAACAAATCATTAAAATGAAAAAAAATGAGTTTTCCACTTTTAAATCAGTATGTAACAGAATCAATGAACAACAAACACAGTGCCAAGAAAAAGTAGTTACCCCCTTCTTAAATTATTTTTTGCATAGTTTCACCACTTTTTTACCAAACAATGTCAAGATCAGACAAAATGCAGTTTTAAAATGGTGATTTGAATTATTAATGGAAGCTACCTGGCCCTGTGTGAAAAGTACTTACACCCCTTGTTAAATCATAAGTGGACTGTGGCAGATGACATTTTTAAGTTCATTTTCACTGACTACATCCAAGCCTGAATTACCTCCAGACCTGTTCAATCAAGAAATCACCTAAATAGAACCTGTTTGACAAAATGGATCAGCCAAATCTCAAAAAGCTGCAACAAAATGCCACAATCAAAAGAAAATCAAGAACAGATAAGAAATATAGTTCCGTAATTGACATCTCTCAGTCTGGAAAGGGTTAAAAAGTCGATCCTAAAGCTTTACGGAAGAGTAGTGGGCATCTTACAGAAATGCCCAAAGAGCACATGGATAACTCAGGAAGTCACAACTGCCGCTTTTCCAAAAGCCGCAAACAGCATCACACCGCTCTGTTTGGCCCAGAACCACACTCCAAACACTTTGGGCTTCCTGTACAAGACAAGATAAGATAAGAAAACCTTTATTTGTCTCACAATGGAGAAATTCGCAATTTACAGCAGCAAAATTTGGAGGGAAGAAAGTAGAAAAACCTGTATTTGCATGCACAAAATAAATTTAAAAAATGAACTGTACACAGTATAAAATGCAATGTAAAATATAAAATATAAGATATAAGCATATATAGAGCTGCATATATGCTGCATAAGATGGTTGTGCTATTTAAAATGGGTGAGTGGGGGTGAGTCCAGGTTTTCAGGTGCGTCTATTCAATGGCCTGACAGCAGTCGGCAGGAACGAGCGGCGGTACCTCTCCTTCTTGCAGCGCGGGTGTAACAGTCTCTGGCTGAAGGAGCTGCTCAGTGCTGTCAGGGTGGCCTGGAGGGGATGGGAGGGTCTGTCCATCATAGCTGTTAGCTTAGCTAGCATCCTCCTGTTGACCACCTACTCCAGAGTGTCGAGGGAGCAGCCCAGGCCAGTGCTGGCCCTCCTGACCAGTTGGTCCAGTCTCTCTCTGTCCCGGGCTGAGATGCTGCCTGACCAGCAGACTATGCCTTAATGAATGGCTGAATCCACCACACAGTCATAGAAGGTCTTAAGGAGTGACCCCTGAACTCCAAAAGACCTCAGTTTTCTCTGTCCCTTCTGTGATAGTAGACCACTCAACTCAACTCTCTCAACTCAACTGTATTTATAGAGCACTTTCAAACAGTCTAGTTTATTGTTGTTGAGAAGAATACCCAGGTACTTGTAGGAGGTCACCCTCTCTATGTCCGTACCCTGGATGTTGATCGGTGCAGGTGAGGACTGTGTCCTGCAGAAATTCACAACCAACTCCTTAGTTTTCCCGGGGTTTATCTGGAGGTGATTCAGCAGGCACCAGTCCACGAAGTCCTCCGTCAGTCCCCTGTACTACCAATCATCTCCTTCTGTAATGAGGCAGACAATCACGGAGTCATCAGATAACATATGAAGGTGGCAGGTTGGAGTGATGTAGCTGAAATCCGAAGTGGAGAGAGTGAACATGAATGGAGCCAGGACGGTCCCCTGCGGCGCCCTGGTGGACAATGGACCGGACAATGGGTGGACCGGAGCTGGACAGGCCTGATCTACCCTATCTATAAGGGATATCATGTGGAGGAAACTAATTCCTCAGATCTCGTTCTTTTAGTCACAACCCACAGCTTGTGACCTATAGGTGAGGGTAGCAACCTAGATCGACCAATTAATTTAGCTTTACCTTTTGGCCCAGCTCGTTCCTCACAATGACAGACCGACACAGAGTCCGCATCACAGAAGATGCTGCACCAATTTGACTATCGTTCTTCTGCTCCAGCCTGCTCTCACTCGTGACCAAGACCCACGGATCAGATCATCAGCAAGCTCTGAAGAAGCATGAGGACAATACTCATCATTTTAATCAGGTGAGCTGGAGCAGGGACAGATGGAAAACAGGCAGGACAGCGGCTCGCGAGGACCAACTTTGGACACCCCTGGGGTTGATGCTCCATCATCTGGGGTGGGGGGGACAGTCAAGTCGCTGCTCCTCCTCGTTGAGAGCAGGCCGATGAGGCGGCTCAGGCATCTGATTCAAATTCCTCCTGGATGCCTCCTTGGTGAGGTGTTCCGGGCATGTCCCACCGGTAGGAGGCCCGAGGGATGACCCAGGACACAATTGAAAGACTGTCTCCCAGCTGGCTTGGGAATGCCTTGAGATCCCCGAGAAGAGCTGAAAGAATTGGCTGGGGAGTAGGAAGTCTGTGTTTTCCTACTAAAGCTGCAGTTCCCATAACCCAGTGGTTCTCAATTATTTTCTGTCATGCCCCCCCAAGGAAGAGACCAAGTTTATG